TTTATATATATATATATATATATATATATATACATATATATATATATATATATATATATATATATATATATATATGTATATATATATATATGTATATATATATATATATATATATATATATATATAAACACACACACACATGTATTGCCACACATATATTCTCTAATGATGTATCATTATTTAATTAGTCCATTTTTTGTTATAATATTTTATTAATTAAAACTATTTTCATTAGTACTTCATTCAATAATGGCCATTAGTTTTGTATAAAATTTTTGTTTTTAAATAAACATACCAATATACATTCCACCAGTTTAAAACATATTTTGTTTACATAATCAAATTATGTATATAAAATAATTTTTAACTTTATAGCTGTTCTGGAAAATAAAGTTTTATATGATTTTTAAAAATAATAAATCATTACCTTTTACTACTTTAAAAAAACGTATTGTACTCAATGCCAATATCTATTACTCATATACTTTGATTGTTTACTTTTTGGTGGTGTCTGCTATTTGTATAGCTTTATGGCAAAAACATCAATAATACATTACTAGTTTCAGGTTTCTTTATTGCACTTACCTAATATTATTGAAAAAGGGTGTAATTTTTTAGGTAGTTCATTCCTTTATGCTCTTATACATGTCTATTCAAAGTTCTGTAGTTCTGTTTTGAGAATGGTTTGATGTGGCTTTCTAAGGTAACAAATAATTTTGGGTTTGAAGAAGAATATATTTGGTTTTGTTGTGGTTCAGATGTTATTTCTTCTTTTGTTTTTGTTCTGTCGTTGTTTAACAGGCTGTTGATTTTATAAATTCATAAGTTTTTTGCTAAAGTTTTTAAATTTTGATGTTAATATTTTCCTGTAAAAATAGATTTAAAAATTTAAAGTATAGGAGGCTTCGGTGTTTGAGGATGTAATTAATGGTGTAAGGAAATTATATGCATTATTGATGAAAGTATTTAGGAAATTTCTCAAAGAAGTTAATTTATCAAATGGCTTGATTTGAGTTTTTTTAGGTTGTTGCAACCTACATTTTTTTAATACCAAGCAAGATAACATAGCATGTCAATGACAATTAGTGTAAAAATGTGAAGAAATTTATTTCTTTCCTGGTTTAGTTCCTGTTCTCTTTGTTTTCTCAATGTGTTTTACTTTTAAAGATGTTTCTTTCTTTGGTGTGTGGTGTTTGCTTTTAATTTACTGGTTTGAAATGTTTAATTGTTATTTTTCTGTTTGGAGAATGTTTTGATATGGTTTTCTATGATGGTTTTGGAATCCAAGTTTTCTTTTAAAAGTTTTTAAATCTGAAGATTAATATTTTACTCTTATGTGAAACCAAAGATCTAAATTTTGTGGAGCTTTTGTTTTTGAGAATGTTTTCAAATGGTATAAGAAAAACCTATATACTTTCTTATGTCGATATTTAAGGATGTTCTTTACAAAAATAATTTTCAAACATGGGGAATGAGTGTTAGTGGCAGTGAACAATGGTGCGACACTTGTTGGTGGTTCATGTGTTGTTTCCTCTTTTCTTTGTGTTTTGTTTTTTGAAGTAGTAGATAGTTTTGGGTTTGATGAAAAATGCATTCAAATATGCTTGAGGGAGATATCATAAATGTCAACCTATCTTTTTTTGTGAGTTTGGAATATAAAAGCTGGTTTGCTCACACAGTATCTTGATGGTTCTTAATTTCATGGTAATCTGCCTTTGAAAAGAAATAACCTGTTGAATGCTATAATTGCATTTCAATTTTGGTATGTTTTTTTGCATTGAAAATACAAATGAGAACAAATAAGTTCTTAAATGTTGTTTCCTACATCTAGGTTAAGATAGAGAAATGGCAAGATTTTAAAATTTAGATGTAATTTTGAATATAATACTTAAACTCATTAATAAGTGAACAACATACAACACATAACTTGATATTTTAATAAGGAAATAATTACTTACAAAATAGTAGTCTTTAAAAGGGGGTATTGAGACAAAAAAACAGGACAAAGTAAGAAATTTAGGTGTCTAAATGTGGACAATCTGTAAGCATGATTCGGTCTTTCTCAATCTTCACACTCACTTTGGGTTTCTTTTTCAACTAAGCATCCATGTCCTCAAATTCCTTGCTGAGATCTCTTTTCATCTTAACATTTGAAGTACTGAAGCTTACATTAGTTTCATGACTCTTAAGTTCATCATCTTTAGTGGAACCCTTACATGCAGACACATCAACTTGTTCATTCATGGACTTGTGTTGTTTACTCTTAATAGATTCCTAACAATAAATAATAGTTTGTTAGAATATATTGATCATGTAATAACTTATAAAAGTAAAGTAATACTTGTGTTGTAGAGATATCAGATGTGAAATGGCCCAATATTGTCTTATCAATAATAATATGCTAAACAGTGAAGTTTTTCTCATTTAAACTCAATTCTGATTGTTTGACTTCAAGTTCGAACAAAAGTAGCTGATCAATGATAGAGTTAAATGTTCAGCATTATCACCTTGAATTTTTTTCAAATTCATCACCGTTGAGAAAACAAATAATAGTACGCACTTTTAATTCAATTATTGTAAATTCTAGAAAAAAGCCTTATAGTATCCTTCAAAATATCTTCTGTTTGTTTTCCAAAGAGTGTTATGCAATGTTTGTCCCACAACATCAATGCAAGGTTGCCTATCTAATCAACTACCCATACTTTTAAGTAGTACCTGGTTCATTTTTTTGGAAGAAAGTTTTATTTATTTTGAATGGTTGCAAAAAATAACTAAGTAATTGTTTAAGAAAATTGTAGAGTACCTCAAAACAAAGCCTGACAAGCTACATTTGCCACAATAATAGCTTCCATCAGTAGAGGTTAGCTTCCTTAAGCACTTCCTACATGATGTATAACACCAAGAACCAAGTTGTTCAAATCCAACAATCTTACACAACACCCAAGTACGGCCCTTCTGTGAAATATATTATTGATTTTAACCATAACTGGTAAGGCTTATGAGATACAAAAAAAGTGTCAAGTTCAAATACACTATAAATTTATTTTATTCTTGTATGTGCTTATTACTTTGTAACCAAGTTAAATATTAGAGCATAGTTAACTATAATAATTTTTTTCTATCAATGTGTAGGTTCCCCCAAGTGTGAAAATGGAGTTTCCAAGGCATCTGACATGATAATTTGTGTAGTTTTTTGGATGACTCTTGGTTGGTTTCATGAGGAAAATTTGCTGCTTGCTCGGAGATACCGGACTCTAAAACTTCAACCCGAAGGAATATACCCTTCATTCGTATCTAACAAGGGAACAAGCCTCCCTTCTAGCGTATACAACACTTAAGCACTTAAGAACACAACTTTCCTTAAAAATTGATAGGGGTGTAAACGGATATTAATCGAATCGGATGTGCCATTACCAAATTCGTATCCGTTTATTTTTGTCGGATATCAAATTCGGATACGGATCTTGACGGATACTGAAAATCAAAACCGTATTCGCATTCGTCGGATATCGGATATATCCGTATCCGTTTCCAATTTTTAAAATCAAATTAAAAAAATACTTTAATTTTAAATGTGATTAAAGCCAAACTATTATTAAATCAACTATAATTTGTTATGGGAAAATTATTTTCTTTGTTTTCATGATTTGTGATATTCTACGATAACTTCATATGATGAAAAGATATACACAGCACATATATATACACATATTTTTATATGTCTGTACATATTTTTATGTGTCTACACATTTATTTTGTGTTAAAAAATATCTTATATTTTGAAATATCAATAGAGAAACAAAATATAAACATAAAAAATTAGGAAAAACTATATATAACGGATCGGATATTCGGATAAACGGTTATTTAAACGAATGCATATTCGGATCAGATTTTAAACGGATCGGATATACAATTACCAAATCCGTATCCGTTTAGTAACCGGATATCTTTAATCGGATACGGATAATATCCGTTTAAAACGGATGCGGATATTTCCTCTTTAAACGGATACGGATGCGGACGGTAATCGGATTTTCGGCTATCCGTTGACAGCCCTAAAAATTGATATGAGTAAAATAGAGAACACTCAATAACACAACAATATCTTCAAAAAATGTCTCTCAAAAAATATAGAAAATGTATATGATCAATGCAATGAAAGTGTGAAGAATTATGTGTTAAAGTATACCTAAAAGACTCCCTTTTTTATACCAAAAAATGAGGTGCAACAGTTGGGAGAAGATTGAGGTTTATTGGCATGATTTGTGGAAATCAAATCAAAAGTGGTCTAGTGCAGATTTGTCTGGACACAAATGTAGTAACATGTACATTGTTGTTCTGGATGTTGACTTTCCTTTTGAATTTAACCAAACGGTCATATGAACATTAATTTACAAAGTGCTACATCTCTGTCAAGGGTGTTGACTATTAAAGAAAGAATGATTTTATCTTAAATTTTTAGACGATCAGGTGTGAACATTGATATTCATGCTTGTACATCGCAGTCTAAGGTTTAGTTGGGACTTCCTACACTTGGCCAGGTAGTGTGGTACCAAAACTGAAATTTCCAGGCCTTTCTAGAACAACGTTGTAGTGAATCCTACATTGATGTTTGGTCAAAAGCTGGAAACCAAGTGTTGGAAACAATTATTTGATGGATTTGATGTAGAAACCAAGTGTAAAAACAGAAAAACTATGTTGTTAAGGTGAAAGACCATAGATCATCAAGTTAAATACGGTTTTCATGATTTTTTTATCAAAGACTAAAAACCAAAGGTGGTTTTTAGAGTGTTTTTGTTGGGAATCTATTTAAGAATAAGATGTTTAAACCAATCATAAAAAGTTGAAAACCACTTGGTTGATTTCGACGCCAAAAATTTAACGGCGAACATTGAACGTTGTGGTTTTAGTTTGGGCAACAACCAGGGGTTTTTGGAAACTTAAAACATATATATAAAAAATTATTTTATGATTTTTAGCTTTTGAAAACCAAGACTTGAAAACCAATGTCGGTCTTGATCTCAATAAAACCAACTCAACCAAAACCTTAGTCTGCATCTAGATCTTTTTTTCTTGGTTCTTTCTGTTAGACAAATGTACAACTCTAGAGGGGAAGTGAATAGAGTTGTTTACAAGAATGTGCGTTTTTCGCGTGTGTGAAATAATAAAATCACAGGAATAAATAAAGAGAGTAAGGGAGAGAAGAACACCGAGATTCATACTCGTTCACCACCTCGTGGCTAGTCCAGTCCTCCGAGAGACTCTCTCGAAAGTCCTACTAATCTTCAAGCTTCAACGGGTGCTTGAAAAACCGGTACAACTTGAGAACTTGAATCACACAAGCCTCACTTTCTTACAACAACAAGACTTGAGTTACACAAGTCTTTAGAACAACACTCAAATGAGATTGAGTTTAACAACACAAGAATGAAAGCTCACACAATTGAGCAAAGTAGTGTTGAAGAATTAAAGCTCTATGGATGACAACTTCTTTAGCACTCAAAAAAAATATTTCTAACTCTCAAAAATAATATTTGATGAGGAAGATGAAGCAAGGAATGAATATAGCTCAAAGGGTATATTAGAGTGCAAGAGTGGTGTTTTGAAATGAAGGAGAATGAGGGATTAAATCGGCTGAGGATAAAAGATCCGTTGGAGCAGATTGAGAATAGACACCAGACAATATTAATCGATTAAAGTAAAGCCTTTAATCGATTAAGGTGTACAGAAGCGAAAGGTCTTCTGCGCAGGGTGCAAATTAATCGATTAAATTTGACAAAATAATCGATTAGATGGCGCTGTCTCAACTAATCGATTAAATGAAGAAAATTAATCGATTATTGGGCGATCCTGGGAATCCAACTAGAAGTCTATTAATCGATTAAAAAGGAAGAGAAAATCGATTAATTTCAAAATACCGTGCAAACATAAAGGGCCCAAGCCAATTTGCGATTGAAGCATTTGGCTTCTAACTCGTTGTTTGGGACAACGGGAATATCAACGGACGCTCCTCAAAGATAATATCTCCTATTCAATGAATTTGAGTAGGCGAGAGAAAAAGAGTTCCAAAATTATTTTGTGTGTCAAACGATGTACAAGAAAAATATTTAAAGTATATTTTTCTTACCACAAAAAAAGTTTGTGTATTCTTAAAAAATGTTTTAAAGAAATTTTGACACACTTATTTTGAAACTGACTCAGTAAAATATTTTTAGACAGAGGAAAAGTAATTTTTCAACTGACTCAGAAAATAATAATTTTTATCCCTCAAAAAATAATTTGTTTGTGCAGAAAGTATTGTCATCCTTACAAAGATTCCTAGACTCAATTAAAAGAAATCTTCGGATTCTTCACTTCACTTCAAAGACTTCTGCGTAGGGGTAAGCCTTGATTTTATCATGATACGCCTCTTTGCTTTTCTCGATACGAAAATAAATTTTCGATCAGCTTGAATTTAATCATCATGTTTGTCATTCATCAAAACAAAAAAAATAATCCAGAAGAAATAGTAAAGGGGTTTGAACTCATGTCCAACAATTTCCCCCTTTTTGATAATGACAAACATAGTTGAGAAAGAGCAAAGTAAGAGTTCAAAAAATACTTCCTTTTAAGAATAATTCCCCCTGCAAGGTTAGAGAAGTGAAAAAATATCGGATTAAAAAGCGGAAAAACGAATTTTTTAAAAAAAGGTTTTGAAAAACGTTTTTAAAAAAAAAGGTTTTCTCAACTATCCTTCCTTCCCCGTTTTGGCATTATCAACCGATAACCTTCCCCCTTAATCAATGCCAGGATATTGAAGGATAAATTTGCAAGAAATTTTCTTTAAAAAAAACTTCTAACAAGAATGCCACAAAGGGACAATATGTTCTAAAAGAGAACCATATTGCCAAACCAACAAACAAATACATAATGGCAACATAATCATTCATCAAAAGAGTTATTAACAACAACAATAGCAAATAACAATGTATCATATTAAGTTAAGACAGAAGGAAAAACAATCAAAGAGAGTTCGCCGGACGAGCTCCTCTGCTAAAGCTGTGACGCGGGCCACGGTAAGAGCGGGAATGCTCAAAACGAGTCATCCTCTCGTTGAGCTCGCGAACGTCATCTCGGATGCACGTGAGAGTATCGAAGATTCTCTTTACCCAAGATGGTTCCGGTGCTTCTTCTCTTGGACGAGTCCTGCGTTGACGAGTGACGTGCTCCGTGGCTCGACTTCCTCCGGCACGAGATGACTCAGCTTGAGTCTCGTTTTGGCTCTCTTCTTCGTCTGCGACTATCAGGTCCAGATTTAGTGCAGCATCGCCCTCCTCACGGTACACGATCCGGGAAAACTTGGCTTCAGTGATGAAACAAGTCTTCTTGACCGGCACCTGAGTGTCCCGAGTAAGGTCTATTTTGCAATGAGCAAGGATATGCATAATGGGGATGGAAAAACGAAGATGGGAAAAATGAGTGCCATCGCTAAGTGCAACGATAAAGAAGTGAACCCAATCAAATTTGACATTGTTCAACAGGACGTGAAACAAACGAATATCGTCCTTGTTGACAACGCCATGGTTCGAATCACGGGGCAACAAAACATAGGAGAAGATGTATTGTTGAACGCGTTGAATTAAAGTGAGATTAATGACACTCGGGTTGCTAGAATTTCTAAACTTGAGGTCACGATGATCTAACCCGAGTTGTCGCCAAATTGCCTCATCTTGGAATGTTTCATCCAAGTTTTCGGTAATTTCACCTCGACGAAGGCCAAACAGAGAAGTCAAACCGGCACCGTCAATGAAAACGGTTTTGCCGTCAACATAGGAAATGAGAGATGGCGAGTCTCCCTTAGTGGTACGAAGATTTGCATAAAATTGACGTATAAGATTTGGAAAAAAGAATTCATACATAAAATGGATGAAACGAAGCAATCCTTGCTGAGAGAAAAGAGACTTACTCGGGGCATAGGTCGCCGATTTGAAGAGATCCTTGTTCACGATCTTAGGTGAGACGATCTCCTTCGTGAGAAAGATGTTGTGGAACCTCTCGGCTGAAGCCCCAGTGTTGAAGGCGAGTCCGGTTTGGATGTGGATGTACTTGCTCCCTTCACGACGCCATGGCTTCTCACCTTCTTCTGCCGCCGATTCTTGACGCGATGAAGCGTTCTTGCACCTTGACAACTTTCCTCTTTGAAATTGATGAAATTTGGTGAGAAAATGGAAGAAATTTGAGAAATTTCTGATGAAGTTTGAGAAAATCGGAGAAGGGAAAGAGTTAGGGTTTGGAGCTTCTGCGATTTGAAAAAGAGGATAGGGCGAAGAAGACGAAGTCAGGGCTGATTTTAAGAGACAAGAAATTGGATAATAATCGATTAAATAAATTGAATTAATCGATTAGTAAGCACAGCCGGCTCTAATCGATTTACGAACAAGAGTTAATCGATTAAAAAAATTGAATCAGATGCCAAGGAATTTGTGCTGAGGATATTAATCGATTAAATAATGACTGTTAATCGATTAAGCTGGACAGAGGCGACTAATCGATTCCTCTTCGAGGAGTAATCGATTAAAACAAATTTGACAAAAAAATCATCAAGTCCAAATCGGTTTGGTACCAAGGGAGATGCCTGAAATAACAAGCCCTGCAAAAAAGATTTTACAGCGCCTCCGACGCTCAAATTAGTATAGTAAAAAAAAAGAATGGATTAGTTCATAGAGATATCCAAAATGCCAAGTTCGTTCCGAATGTGGAAGAAACTCTTCCTACTAAGGGGTTTCGTGAAAATGTCCGCCAATTGATGATTCGTTTCAACAAACTCAATTGTGACATCTCCCTTTTGGACGTGATCTCGTATGAAGTGATGCCTAATTTCTATGTGTTTAGTCCTCGAGTGAAGAACGGGGTTCTTCGTTAGACTAATAGCGCTCATATTGTCACAACTAATAGGGATGTGATCAAGTATAAGGCCGAAATCCACTAGTTGTTGTTTTAGCCAAAGAATTTGGGCACAACAACTTCCCGCAGCGACATATTCCGCTTCGGTGGTGGAGAGTGCAACACTAACCTATTTCTTACTAAACCACGAGATTAACGAATGACCGAATAAGTGGCAAGTACCGCTAATACTTTTCCTATCGAGTTTGCAACCTGCAAAATCCGAGTCGGAATAGCCAACAAGATGATATGTTGAACCTTTGGGATACCAAAGACCTACGTTCAACGTGCCCGCGAGATATCGCATTATCTTTTTGATCGCAACCAAGTGCGACTCTTTAGGACATGATTGATACCTAGCGCATATACAAACGGAGTACATGATATCCGGTCTACTCGCGGTAAGATAAAGTAAAGAGCCGATCATACCTCGGTAGCGCTTGATGTCTACCTCTTTACCTTTTTCGTCCTTGTCGAGATAGCAAGAGGTGCTCATTGGTGTGTCAATGGATTTGGATTCGGTAACATCGAATCTTTTAAGCAATTCCCTGCAATATTTCGTTTGACACACGAATGTTCCTTCTTTGCATTGTCTAATTTGCAGCCCAAAGAAGAACTTTAATTCTCCCATCATCGACATTTCAAATTCACTTTGCATCATATCGGAAAAATCCCTGCACAAAACCTCGTTAGTAGCACCGAATATGATATCATCTACGTAAACTTGAACCAAAAGGATGTCTTGGTTATCTTTCTTGATAAAAAGAGTAGTGTCGACTTGACCCCGTTTGAACTCATGGTCCAAAAGAAATTTGCTTAACCGTTCATACCAAGCACGAGNCGGGGGTTGTTCGACATACACTTCCTCTTGAATGATACCATTAAGGAAGGCACTTTTAACATCCATTTGATAAAGTTTAAAATCCATCGTAGATGCAAATGCAAGTAATAAACGAATAGCTTCTAAACGTGCAACCGGTGCATAAGTTTCTTCATAATCAATGCCTTCTTCTTGATTGTAGCCTTTAGCTACAAGCCTAGCTTTGTTTCTAGTGATTACTCCATTTTCATTGAGTTTGTTACGAAACACCCATTTTGTGCCAATAACGGAATGATCATTAGGTCTAGGCACCAATTCCCAAACATCATTGTGTTTAAATTGGTTAAGCTCCTCTTGCATTGCCATAGACCAATGTTCATCATTAATAGCATCCAAAATGGTTGTTGGTTCAATTTGTGAAACAAAGGCCATGTGATTAATTGTGTTCCTAAGAGAATTACGAGTAGAAACTCCCTGCGTTATGTCACCAATGACATTGTCAATCGGGTGGTTCTTCAATGTTCTCCATTCCTTAGGAAGCTCTGTTTGTTCCTGCGTTTTCTCTTCTTCCGGTTCCTTTTCCTTAACGATTTCTTCTTCATCGTCATAAGAACCTGCAACATTATCAACAATACCTTTTCTCGCCAAGCGAGCATCAAATTCATCAAAGATAACATGAATAGACTCCTCTACGGTCTTAGTACGCTTGTTGAACACTCTATATGCCTTACTACGAAGAGAATAACCTAAGAAAATTCCTTCATCCGACTTAGCATCAAATTTTCCCAAGTTATCTTTTCCATTATTATGAATAAAAATTTTACATCCAAAGACATGAAAATAGGAAAGGTTAGGCTTTCTTCCTTTGTAAAGTTCGTAGGGCGTTTTCTTGAGTATCGGTCTAATGACGGCTTGGTTTAACACGTAGCACGCGGTACTCAAGGCATTCGCCCAAAAATATTTAGGAAGATTAGCCTCATTGAGCATAGTTCTAGCCATCTCTTCAAGAGACCTATTTTTCCGTTCAACCACGCCATTTTTTTGTGGTGTACAGGGGGCCGAGAAGTTATGCTCAATGCCTAATTCGTCACATAAGGCGTCAAAGCCATCTTGATCGAATTCTCCCCCATGATCACTTCTAATGGATGAAATGTGACAATCTTTTTCATTTTGAACCAATTTGATAAATTTCTTAAAAGCATTAAGTGCATCATTCTTATGAGCTAGAAAAGGTGTCCATGTAAACCTCGAATAGTCATCAACGATAACAAAGCCAAAGTAATTACCTCCTAAACTCATAGTTCTTGAAGGTCCAAAAAGGTCCATGTGCAAAAGTTGTAATGGCCTAGTCGTAGAAACAATGTTCTTAGACTTAAACGAGGCTCTTACTTGCTTCCCCTTTTGACATGCATCATAAATTAGATTCTTCTCAAACTTAAGTTTAGAAACACCAATTACTAAGTCTTTAGAAACCAACTTATTAAGATGATCCATATTAACGTGAGCTATCCGACGATGCCATAGCCACGTTTCTTCCTCTTTAGTAATGAGGCACTTAGCTAAGATAGACGGGGAATTTTCAAGATCAAACATGTAAATGTTATCTACTCTACTACCACAAAGAATAGTCTTATTGTCACACAAGCGTTCTACAATGCATTTACTAGAATCAAAGATGACACGGTTACCTCTATCGCACAATTGGCTAATGCTAAGAAGATTTTGCTTGAGGCCCTCAACAAGAAGAACGTTCTCAACGGTTGTAGCATTGTCCTTCCCGACGGTGCCACTTCCAATGATTCTTCCTTTGTTGTTGTCACCAAAAACGACATTGCCACCTTTGAAATACTCTAAACTCCTAAATTTGGATGCGTCTCCGGTCATGTCCTTGGAGCATCCGCTATTGAGATACCAAGAGGTACTCGAAGCCTTCAAGCACACCTACAAAAAGATATCAAGGAGACGGTTTAGGTACCTGACGAATGAGTTTTTCGGTAAGTCAACCTTCCCAATAAAGGGTTAGTTTTCTCCGAGTGTCGTGTCTCTCGAGGAGTGGACAAAGGGAATTAGCTAATTTTTCTAACTAGACGAAGGTTAGGACGGGTCTGAAAGTCTTCTCTTTTCGATTTGATAATAAAAATAAACTGAATTACTGGATGCTTTTTGACAAAGAAAATAAATAGTACGGGTATGGGACTAGATTTTGGGTCAAGGCATCATCTGAGTTAACTACTGTTGTCACATATTTAATCAATAATTGGAATAAATATATTTCTGTCACAAATATTTCATTAATTTATCCTCTCTCAAGGTATCATTAATGTGTTCTAAAAAGTTTGGCTTAATTAATTTTATATCCTCATAGACATGGTAAAAACTAATTTCCAATTATTAATTAATTTTTCTCTCGACTTAATTAATTAATTTAACATTAAAAATAATTTTAGAACAATTATTCCAATTATTAACTAAACATACATAGTATATGCCCAAATTTAGCCAGGACCCTAATCCGGGCCCTAACTCATACTAATTATTAAGAGTGCATAAAATAAAAGAACATTTCATTAAAAGTTGTAAAAATAAACTTACAACCGAGAGTAGAGTCGGGGCCACTTTGGGACAACCGGAACAAAACTAAACTAAAATATTAAAATATAATTGGAAATTGAAGCTGGAAAGGAGGTCCGGGCCTTAGAAGACCCGGAGGAAGCTGATTATTATGGAGACTCGCCGATCCGACTTATATAGGAATCAAAATTTCCGGGGCGGGGTCCGGGGCGGCCGTTCGGCAGGTCGCCCGAGCACGCCCGCGGTTTTCGGCGCGTGGTTTCGCCAAGTTGTGCGCTGTTTCCCTTTTTTTGTTTTTCTTCTGCATGCGTCATACTCTATCTCCTCTTTCAATCTTTCTTTCTTTTTTTTTCTTTATATGATGATTGATGAAGGTGGCTGACAGCTGGAACAAGATAGCCCCCCACTTGCTGGCTGCTGCAGTTGGCCGGCCAGCCAGGTCGCGCCACGTGGCAGCGCCTGGTTGGCCGGATTTTGATCTGGTCCGAAATATTTTTCTAAAAATGCTATCTTGCTCAAAATTTTATTCTGGACAACTTTTCCTTCTATGCCGACTTCAAATTCCGAACCAATTTGGGTCAAACGAATTAATTTGAATCAAAACAACTTTTTTTTTAACTTTTTCTTTTCAAACAATTTCTTTTTCAATCCGTTTGACCTCAAATCTCTTGACGGGTACATCTCCACAATTGAATATACAATTTTCACTTCATGGATTTTCACCATCTTTTGTCTCCTTTGCTCCGCTGCATTCCATTTGCACAATCTTTTACCTTTTCGTACCACTTTTGACTCAATTTTTATTCTTTTTAAAACTACACATAACTTTTGTGCACTTTTACAATTATGAATAAAAACTTATAAAAACCATTGAGAAATTGATTTATTTGATCCAAAATTGGACAACAACACGTTAAATATAGAGAAGATAAGTGCGTACAAAACGGACTTATCAAATTCCTCACACTTAAGCGTTGCTTGCCCTCAAGCAACAAAGTACAACAACAAATGAGATTTTGGATCAAACACTTATTAAAAAGATTTTGGAAAAACAATTGACCACACTTTTTAAACAATTTATTGCACAAACTTTTTTACATTATTTAATCTTTACAAAAATAGAACTACTAGAAATATCACTCTTTTTACAAAGAAGTTAGCAAAATATTTTTATTGCAGTTACGGTTTATTATCTGTTCTAAATCGGGCCATGAACTGAGAAAGAAAAATGACAAAACAGTAAACGGTGGGAAGCTTCGAACACGGGTCACGTGGCACAACAAGCAACCTCATTTCCATGTGCGCTACTGTGCTTGTATTGCCTCCTAGTGGGACTATTTGTATATACTCCGTATATACGAATTCATCTATAAAAACTCAACACTTCTCTTTTTAAAAAAGGTTGGAACCCCCATTTTCTCCCCTCTCTCCATTTCGAAATTCTCTTCCTCCCTCACTAATATCTCACCACTTTCTTCATCCAAACACATAAAAATTACTCCATCTTCATCATCATCTATTATATTTGGAGCTCAAGAACACACCTTCCATTTTGTAAGATTTTTATGTTTGTAATAAATATTTATTTGTTTAAGTTTCAAACTATGAACTTCTAAATTCCATTGGGGTTAGAAGTTGGTGTAATTAATTTGTCCATCTTAATGTTTTAAATATTTTTAACATGGATTGTTGATTTTATTTTTACTTAGATGTTGTATTTAAAAATAAATAAATTTGGAATGTTTGTGATTATTAAGGGCCCAATCATAAACATAATTGTTACAAGGAATATGAGTTAAAATTGATATAATCATAAAATAGAACACTTTTTAATTACACCGTAAGCCTTCTCTACCTTTAACCGGGATTGAAGACTTTCGGGTGGACATAATTATTGAGTTGTATTTTTACACCATTAAATTGGGTAAACATACAATAAAATAATTATGGTTGCCGTTGTTACTAAATAATCACTCCGGATTTATCATTAGCGTGTTAAAGTCGGAGTAATTATTATTTAGGTGAACTGCGAGAGCGTCCCTAAATACTTTTCTGCAACCCCACACATTCTATATAAAAATAAATTGACAATCCAACTTTTATAAAAACATTGGACAATTAATTTACCAATTTCTACTCCTAACTTTTCATCATAAAAAACTTTGTGTTGTTTGGAACTCTCTCCTTTTACACTTTTTATTTTATCTTTAAAACCAAAAAGACCAAAATATTTTACAACTTCTTTTGTAAACTTTTGTTTAAATTAAATTAATTCACGTCTCCCTGAGGTTCGACACCCTACTTACAAGGGATTCTTTTTAGTTGTTATTTTTGCCCGTTCTATACTGCAAATCAGTAGGGGAGAGAAAAAGAGACCAAAAATTATTTTGTGTGTCAAACGATGTACAAGAAAAATATTTAAAGTATATTTTTCTTACCATAAAAAAAATTTGTGTATTCTTAAAAAATGTTTTTAAGAAATTTTGACACACTTATTTTGAAACTGACTCAGTAAAATATTTTTAGACAGAGGAAAAGTAATTTTTCAACTGACTCAGAAAATAATAATTTTTATCCCTCAAAAAATAATTTGTTTATGCAGAAAGTATTGTCATCCTTACAAAGATTCCTAGACTCAATTAAAAGAAATCTTCGGAGTCTTCACTTCACTTCAAAGACTTCTGCGTAGGGGTAAGCCTTGATTTTATCTTGATACGCCTCTTTGCTTTTCTCGATACGAAAATAAATTTTCGATCAGCTTGAATTTAATCATCCTGTTTGTCATTCATCAAAACAAAAAAAATATTCCAGAAGAAATAGTAAAGGGGTTTGAACTCATGTCCAACACTTTCGTGCCTTTGTGCCATACCTTTTTTTATATCTTGAGATGTTCAACAAAGCTTCTTCATATCCACAGTGGTTTGACATTCATCAAAACCTATCAAAAACTAAACAAGGCTTTAGTACAATATTATTATAAAGCATGTTCCAACAAGTTTGTGGTTCATCTTGGTAGGAAAGCAACTTAATCTCTCTGCTAATTTGTGTCGATATTAAATAGAAAAGGAAAGGAGATGGAGAAGGAAATCAAAGAAAGGCGATTCACGAATTAAAGGAAAGGAGATCGCGAAGATCCCAAAGAAGAGAAAAGCAGCGTACTCTCTTTGCGTATTTTGACTCGAAGAAGAGACACTAATTTCCTTTTTCTTGGTTTATCGATCGATTGGTCTCTTCCACCTCAGCTTTCCATCTCATAATTAGTTGTGTAGGAAGGTAACACATCAGCTCTATCACATGTCATGCTACAACTTCGCCAAATATCGTGTTCCTTTAGGTTAGAGTCGGCTTTTTATATATAAAGGATAATAAATTATTTCATATCTTTCTCTCTTATTTTTAAATTTTTATCATGAATTCCTTTTGTTCTCCATTCGGTTCTCTGTCCGGTGTTGAGCGTAACGAGTATGCGATGTGGCTTTACCGAATGTACAGGAATAATCTGACATTTTTTCAAAACCTAAACCTCGGTGAATCTTGAGGACCGGAGTCGGTTTCGAACACTCAACCAGAACTAAGTGCACCAAAAAAGTGCATGTTGGAAGAATCACAAATTGAGGAGCGAAAAGTCGATGACTGATGCTACACAGTCCATTCAAAAATGGACACCATACGAAGAAGTTTTATTGGCGTATGTGTGGGTTGACATCTCAGAGCATTCTATGGATGGTAAAATTTATATGTTTTTTGATATATATTTTACATATGTTCTTTTTATATATATTTGGGTTAAAGTTTTTTTTGTTAAATCATATATTTCTTAAAGGTTCTTATCAAATGAGGGATGTGACAAGGACCACTCCAATCAAACCCAAGACTAACTCACTTCTGATTGGGGGCACATAAATAGAAAAGTCCGAAAGTTTATTGTAGTGTACAAGGAATGCATTTGGTCCCGGAAGAGCAAGACAAATGATGCCGATATTCCGCGACCAGCCACCGCTTGACATCAAGATAACGAACATCAAGGCAAAGTCTCCGTTGATTTGTAGAGAGTTTTAAGCCGTTCACCGAAATAGATACAACTCTATAACCCTGAGGCCGGATTGTCAGGGAAAAGACGATCCTCTGCCAAGGTTGATGCGGAGAATACTATCGGGTCGTCGGAACAATGGTCAGTTGTCAACCTAGATGACTCTGATGACAAGGACCCCATTCCACGACCAATTGGAAGAAAGAAGGCAAAATCAATTGGTTCGGGTTCTAGGTCTGGCTCTGTTTCCTCTCATGACGATATCAGCCGACAAATAATTGAACAAATGTGGTTGTTCAATCTTAGTGAAGAAGAGAGGGAGAAACAGATAATAGAGAAGGAGGAGCTCGAAATAACGGAAAACGGTAGTGATACGTTTGTTGAATATTACAGCGGGAAAATAAAAATAAAATAATCCGAACTTATAAAACGTTCGGATTTTACAACAAAAATAAAAGAAAATAAAACTTGGAGTCTTCGGGAGCTCGAAGAGACTTTTCTTCGGACGGAGATGTTTCTAGAACCGTAGGTAAGGAAAGCGGAGTCGCCGAAGCTTTCCTTAAGGTAGTATTGCCCGCCTCCCGCACTGGAAAACTTGGGCAATCTCCTCCCAGGATAAAACCGCAACGTGCTAAGTCTAGAGCGGTAGAACAGAGCACCGGCGAACGAGAATGACGGAGAGCTATCGCCGAAGAAGATGATCGGAGTTGGGGAGTTGTCGGAACTTTTAGAACGCAGAGACAGAGAGAGAGATTTTCGATTGAGTGTGTAATCCCTGCAGCCGAGCCCTCTTTAGTGTGTAATGAGAGCAATTTGGACCCTTCGCTGGACATCGGAGATTACGAAGAGTCGAATGACTCTTCATACGTGAGTGCATGCATGCCTTTAATTCTATACACTTCGTTAATAACGAAGTACTTCGTTATTAACGAAGTGTACACGCGTGATTTGGTCTCGTAAAAAGTTAGCCACGCCGCGGGCGCAGGCGCGCCGCGCGCGCGCACGCGCGTGACGTGCCGGACAGACGGCGGCGGCGGCGGGCGCGCGAGAAGTCCTCTTCTTTTTCCTTTCATAAGCTCAATTCAATGCCTAAGCTTAAATATGAGAATACGAAAGGTTTAGAAACCGGTGTGGGACAAAGGCATTTACTCTACCTTAGTATTCCACTTTGAGAATTAATTTCTCATTCACTCGAGCACCGTTTATGACGTGTCATATGTCAAGACGTTCGTCTTACTTACGAGATTAATCGTCCATAATTATTTTGGAAAATAATTTTGTGGACCCTACCGAATTTATGTCCGAAAATGTCCAATTTACTTTAAAATTTCCAACAATCCCCCACATGAATGAAAATTAATTCATGTAACTGGCAATAACTCTGAAGTTGAAACCTGCAAGAGTAGGTAGGTTTTATGCCTTTGAACCTACTCCTTGTAAAATATACCTTCTCTACTGGCTGTTTAGTAGAACATGATGTCTTTGAACTGTCCTTCCGTTTATGTAAACGACGATATACAATACACAAGTTTCAACCAACCATCATTCCGTTCTCATGGGTGTGCCCATTATGGTCGTGGAACACACATCTGGTTTTGCGAGAGTGTAAGACAGGATCAGCCCGAAATCCTTCTGTTGAAGCGACCGCACTTCACTCTTACATAGGTGATTCTTCTAAGAGTATCCCGATTACTCCACTTGGACCTCGTTGTCCATAGTTCAAGAATCATTAAAGCGCCATGCTAACCTCATCGTTTTCGGGAGTCACTATATCTCAGTAGGAACGAAGGGGTGTTAAGTCGGTGATTCGGCTTGCCCCCACAGTGACCGTGCTTCGTTCCACAAGTAGGTTGTCCCATTGAACCCAGGTACCACCTAGGTTGGGTTTTCCTTCATGGAACGTTTCCAGCACAGGGTAGGGCTCTCAGACCCATTCCTACTACTAACTTCTCATGTTGCTCATTGGTTAACCCTTTGGTTAATGGATCCGCTAAATTATCCTTTGACTTGACATAGTCAATCGAGATAATACCCATATTGAGAAGTTGCCTAATGGTTTTGTGTCTACGGCGAATGTGCCTAGACTTACCATTATACAATTTTTTCCGAGCTCGTCCTATTGCTGACTGACAGTCACAATAAATGCAAATAGGAGGAACTAGTTTTTCCCATTAAATTCCGAGCTCGTCCTTAAGTAAATTCCGAAGCCACTCGGCATGCTCTGCACACTTGTCTAGTGCTATGAACTCAGATTCCATGGTGGATCTGGCAATTAACGTTTGTTTTGAGGATTTCCAAGAAACAGCTGCACCAGCTAACATAAAGATAAATCCGCTTCTGGATTTTGAATCCTTATTGTCCGCAATCCAATTGGCATCAGTGTACCCTTCTAGCACGGGTGGATACCTGCCATAGCATAGGCTATAATCTCACGTATACCGAAGGTATCTCATTACTCGGACTATGGCCTTCCAGTGCTCAGCACTCGGATTGCTCGTATACCTACTTAGTTTGCTAATGGTGCAAGCTAAATCTGGCCGTGTGCAGCTCATCAGATACATCAGACTTCCGATAACTCTAGCGTATTCTGTCTGAGAATCGCTACTCCCTCGGTGTTTACCAAGGTGAACATTTACGTCTATCGGCGTCTTAGCTATCTTTGTATCATCCTTGTTGAATTTCTCAAGGATCTTGTCAATGTAGTGGGATTGGCTCAAGCTCAGACCATCCGGTCTTCTTAGTATTTTGATTCCAAGAATCACATCAGCCAAACCCAAATCTTTCATATCGAATCGTGCGTTCAACATGTCCTTGGTGGACTTGACCATCCTATCGTTGCTTCTAACGATGAGTATGTCGTCTACATACAGACATAAAATGACATACCCTTCAGATGTGTCCTTAAAGTATACGCACTTATCCGACTCATTTATCTTAAAACCGTTGTTCATCATTACCTCGTCAAACTTATCATGCCATACTTTTGGCGCTTGTTTAAGACCATATAATGATTTCACAAGTTTGCAGACCTTCTTTTCTTGGCCCGGAACCTTAAACCCCTCGGGTTGTTCCATATAGATTTCTTCATCTAGTTCGCCATTTAGAAAAGCAGTCTTTACATCCATTTGGTAAACATCCAGGTTTCGTAAGGATGCAAATGCGATGATCATTCTAATAGAATCTATCCTAGTCACAGGTGCGTAAGTATCAAAGTAGTCATAGCCCTCGCGTTGGCTATACCCCTTGATCACAAGTCTAGCTTTGTACTTGTCAATGGAGCCGTCAGACTTCATTTTCCTCCGAAAGACCCATTTAGAACCTAATGGTTTACACCCCGGAGGGAGATCAACCAATTCCCACGTGTGATTCTGAAGAATAGAATCAACTTCACTTTTTATGGCTTCTCGCCACTGAGGTCCCTCAGTTGAAGTTACGGCCTCGTGATAGGTTCGTGGTTCCTTTTCTACCAAACAGGTTAGAATATCGGGTTCATTTTCCATTAGAAATGACAAAGTTCCTTTGTCAAATTCTATCAGATATGTTATGAAGTCAGAAACCGAACATCTTTTCAGTTCGCATTCTTGTACTTCGTCTCAGTCCAGTCTCATGTTCGACTTCATCATCGTCATCGGAATTCAACTGATTTGGATCATCATTATCCATCATCTCAGTATGAGAACGTTTGGACGAACTGGCTTCGTCACTTGACTTGCACGGGAAAATGTGCTCGAAAAACGTTGCATTCCGTGACTCAATGATTGTGTTCTTTTGAATTTCAGGATTATCTGATTTGTACACCAAGAACCGGTACGACGTACTATTGTACCCGATGAAGATTCCATCAACTGTTTTTGGACCGATCTTCATCTTCTTAGGTGGTGGTGCAAGTACTTTCGCGAGACACCCCCACACTTTGAGATACTTATAGGAAGGTTTCCTATTATGCCAAAGTTCATACGGAGTTTTGTCAAGTTTCTTACGAGGTATTTTATTTAGTAAATAATTACTTGATAAAACAGCCTCCCCCCACATGTTCTGGGGTAACCCAGAACTAAGTAGCATCGCATTCATCATGTCTTTCAGAGTGTGATTTTTCCGCTCTGCTACACCATTAGACTGTGGTGTATACGGTGGGGTTACTTGATGCACTATTCCATGTTGTGCACAAAACTCATTAAGTGGAGCATCATACTCACCACCTCTATCGCTTCTCAATGCTTTGATTTTGCGATTGAGTTGATTTTCCACTTCATTCTTATATCGAATAAAAGTGTCTAACGCTTCATCTTTACTTTTTAGTAAATAGATATAGCAATATTTCGTGCTATCATCGACGAAGGTAATAAAGTATTTATTACCCCCTCTTGAAGGCGTTGTTCGAAAATCACACAAGTCGGTGTGAACCAACTCTAGAGGCTGAGTATTTCGTTCGATCGTTTGAAACGAACTTCGAGTTGACTTTGCCTCAACACAAGTTTCACACTTGTGAGTTAAGTCAATACTAAACTTAGGTATGTGTTCCATGTTAATTAATTTCCGAAGAGATGCATAATTAACATGTCCTAGTCTACCATGCCATAAACTAGAAGACTCACACACATAAGCAATAGGATTTTTATTGATCTTTTCATGAACAGTCATTACATTAAGCTTGACAAGCCCATCAGAAATGTAACCCTTCCCAATAAAAATCCCTTTCTTGGACAAAATTAGCTTGTGTGATTCAAACACCATCCGAAAGCCGTGTTTGATCAGCAATGACCCTGACACCAAATTCTTGCGAATATCTCGCACATAGAGCACGTCGTTAAGCATTAACTCTTTGCCTGAGGTCATTTTGAGCTTAATCTTGCCCACCCCTTGAACCTCTGACTGGGCCGAATTGCCCATCCAGACCTTGTCACCGGAGGTCTCTTGGAAGTCGTGAAACATGCTCCTGTTTGAGCAAATATGGCGTTTGGCTCCTGTGTCCACAAACAACTCCCTCGGGTTTGACCTGACTAGATTCACCTCGGTGACAACCGCGCAGAGGTCCAAGTTGTCCAGCTCCGCACACATGGCTTCAGTGGTTTTCTTCTTTCCCTTTTGTGGCTTCTTTTTCCTACAATCAGAGGAACGATGCCCGGTAATGCCACAGTTGTAGCATTTCCCTACAAATTTTGAAACACCACCCTTAGGACCCATTTTCTTTTTGTCCTTCCCGCCATGTGAAGAGCCCGACGGATGTTCTACCACATTCGCCTTTGCCCTTCCACTTCTTCTAGCAAGCCCCTCCTCTCTGATTCTCAGTCGTGTGAGCAGTTGCTCCGGGTTTAGCTCCGTTCTCTTGAGCTTGAGGTCGGCTTGGAAGTCTTCCCACGACCGGGGAAGTTTGTGGATGATGTCCGCCACTTGGAAGGCTTCGCTGACGCCTACTTTCTCTTTATTGCACTTGTTGAAGATTACTGTAAGCTCCTCAGCCTGGGCGACAACAGATTTGCTCCCGACCATCTTGTAGTCCAGCATCTTCCCGACGATGAACTTCTTTGTGCCGGCATCTTCAGCTTGATACTTTTTGTTCAAGCTATTCCAAAGCTCCTTGGCAAGCTTTGCACCGGCGTAGACGGGGTACAACGAATCTCCCAACCCCTCAAGGATAATGTTGATGGCGAGATAGTTGTTATGGTACCATGCTTGGTTCACCATCGCCACAAGGGGGTCGTTGGCTTCATTGGGCTGGGGGGATCTTGCCGCAGGTACTCAGCAAATCCCAAGACGGTCATGAAGAACGTCATCTTTTGTTGCCACATTTTGAAATTCGTCCCATTGAACTTCGGTGGCCTTTGAACCGAACTTGCGGGCACCGAAATCGGCCCAACTGCATTGGGCGTGTGGAGGAAAGGCCCGTTGGTCGCCCAATGAGGTCCAACGAATGGATTGACCGGTGTGGGGAAACCCGCGTTCGATCCTAAGTTGACCGGTGTGGGAAAACCCGCGTTCGGTCCAAGGTTGACCGTTGAGGCCGAAGCCATAGTCGGTCCGAGAAAGGGGTTCGAATTACCGACGGGGTAATCCCCCGTGGTTTCGAGCCCGGGAATGGGTCGAGGGGCCGACCTGAAGATCGAGCTTGGCATCGAGAAAGACGTCATGGTTGCGGCCCCCACACTTGACCCGAAGGGCAGTGGAGAGGACGGCACGACCATGGCAACCGAAGAGGTTTCCACCGGGATTTCGGAACTCATCCCGTTGCCGGAGGAACCCTCGATGCCGAATCCGAACTCCATTACAATATTACCTTAAGACTGTTGAATATTACAGCGGGAAAATAAAAATAAAATAATCCGAACTTATAAAACGTTCGGATTTTACAACAAAAATAAAAGAAAATAAAACTTGGAGTCTTCGGGAGCTCGAACGGACTTTTCTTCGGACGGAGAACAAAGGGTCGCCGGAGATGTTTCTAGAACCTTAGGTAAGGAAAGCGGAGTCGCCGAAGCTTTCCTTAAGGTAGTATTGCCCGCCTCCCGCACTAGCAATGTGCTAAGTCTAGAGCGGTAGAACAGAGCACCGGCGAACGAGAATGATGGAGAGCTATCGCCGAAGAAGATGATCGGAGTTGGGGAGTTGTCGGAACTTTTAGAACGCAGAGACAGAGAGAGAGATTTTCGATTGAGTGTGTAATGAGAGCAATTTGGACCCTTCACTGGACATCGGAGATTACGAAGAGTCGAATGACTCTTCATACGTGAGTGCATGCATGCCTTTAATTCTATACACTTCGTTAATAACGAAGTGTACACGCGTGATTTGGTCTCGTAAAAAGTTAGCCACGCCGCGCGCGCGGGCGCGGGCGCGCGGGCGCGCGCGTGACGTGCCGGACAGACGGCGGCGGCGGCGGGCGCGCGAGAAGTCCTCTTCTTGTTCCTTTCATAAGCTCAATTCAATGCCTAAGCTTAAATATGAGAATACGAAAGGTTTAGAAACAGGTGTGGGACAAAGGCATTTACTCTACCTTAGTATTCCACTTTGAGAATTAATTTCTCATTCACCCGAGCACCGTTTATAACGTGTCATATGTCAAGACGTTCGTCTTACTTACGAGATTAATCGTCCATAATTATTTTGAAAAATAATTTTGTGGACCCTACCGAATTTATGTCCGAAAATGTCCAATTTACTTTAAAATTTCCAACAACGTTAACGAGATTCAAATGTATATTTTACGAGAAAACACAAAACAGGATCTAGGCTTAATATGATATGCTTTAGTTTTTTATTAACGTATTATTTTTTAAGTTAATGTTTTTATTGAATGTACTTTTTAAAATGAATTATTGTCGTTTATATTTAAATAAATAATGAAATCTTATTAATTTACTTACAAAATGTGTATTAAAACCTTTAAAATATAAAGTTTTGAAGCCCCAAACTTCAAATCCATTTCTAGTGAAATTATGAAGTAAATTAAAGAGGGTTGAAGCTGCTGGGGCAGAGAGAGAAAATTTGAGGCATAAGATTATCCACATAAGATGAGTGCTATACTGGCAGACATAAGATTACTGAAAGAATTATTTGGGAGGAAATTCTCTGTATTTCTCTCTTGTGTTTACAATTTACAATGAGGACATATATATAGGATCTCACAAGTTGAGACTCCTAATAAGTAAAGGAAAGGGAAAAGGAATGAATCCCTATACAAGGAAAACTACCAAAACAATATATACACAAATATCTCCAAATATTCTACCAAATATTCTACCAAATATTCTCTTTCCTTTAACACCCCCCCTCAAGTTGGAGCATGTAGTAACGAAATGCCCAACTTGGGAAGAAGAAACACCATACGTGACTTTCCGAGTGCCTTTGTATTAATGTCTGCAAGCTGATGCGTAGTAGGCACATGAAGTGTACGAATCTCTCCTCGCAAGAGCTCATCACGAACGAAGTGACAATCAATCTCAATGTGCTTCGTGCGTTCGTGGAAAACCAGATTAGCAGCAATGTGAAGTGCTGCCGTGCTGTCACACCGGACCGTCATGGGGTCCTTATGCTCAACCCCTAAACACCGCAAAACATTCTTCAACCACTTCAACTCACATGTAAGGACAGCCAAAGCTCTATACTCTGCTTCAGCAGACGAGCGAGCCACCGTCGATTGCTTCTTTGTTTTCCATGAGACAGGC